ATTAATTTTCTCGATTATGTAACTGCTGCGGTTTGTAAGAGTTTTAATTTGGGTTTTTATTTTCTTTCTTTTTCCCCGATTTTTCGGTTTTGTACCCCCTTTCCCGAAGCCTTGTAATAGTTTAGGTTTACTTTTCACACCTTTATTTTTTGCCTTTACCATTTTCCTTATAACCGCTAGTAATTAGGGCATGTATGGCAAGATTTAAAATCAATTGTTAGATAACTCTAAATACAAGATAAATAACTTAATTGAACCATTTTTGACACACTCACCTCTAGGATAATCCCACTTTTTTCCTTCGAATAAAGCAGTCATGTCACTCGAAAGTGGGACGATTTAGCAAAGACCCTCGATAAAAAGATCGTAGTCCCTCGATGACCCTTCGATGCTGTCTTCGGTAAACGATCTTGTCCCTTACGGTAAAAATTTCTAAAGCGCCCTACAAGTTACCTTTATGATTGTATGATGACTCGCGTCTGTCCCTCACACATCCAACGATAGGGCTTCCTGCTAACTAATGGTAGGATAACACTATCTAAGGAGGAGAAAAATAACACGAAAGACTTTTTAGTAAGGGTAGAATATTGTTAATCGCTTGCTCACACAAAACATTTTTTACATAATAACACTCTTCAACAAATATTTTCAAAATAAACACTTTGTACGCATTCTCAATGGATACGAGAATCATTACAAAGTTTGTCGTACTTAGGAATTTTCAAAATATTTTCAAACACATAACACAAAAGCATTTTCAAACAAAGTGAGCTAGAGATTAAGAGCCCGTAGATAACTACGGATGAAAAGGGTTCTAACACCTTCCCTTTTCATAACCTACCCCCCGAACTCAAGAAAATCTCGAAGGTCTTTCCTATTCTTTTCACCCTTTCCTTACTGGATAAAAGAAAAGTCGGTGGAGACTCTTGCTATCCGCAACATTTGCGATAAAATGCAAAACCAAATCCGTTCTCCCACCAAATTACACGATAGATACGCGAATTTTCAGGGTTATACTATTCATCCCTTAGGTTGTGATGAATAACGTAAACCCATCTTTGTTGTCTTTTATCCCCTAGGTTATGATAAAATACACAAGTGCATCCTCATACTGTTTACTCCCTAGGTTGTAGTATACAGGACGAAATATGCGATATAACTCATTGTGTTAGTCTTAATGCAGCAATGTGTTATCAATATTTTTCAATTATTTATCCCCTAGGTTGCGATAGATATACAAATTTTCAGGGTTATACTATTCATCCCCTAGGTTGTGATGAATAACATCATCCCACCCCTGTCATCTTTTTTCCCCTAGGTTGTAATAAATACACAGGTTCATCCTTGTACTGCTTACTCCCTAGGTTGTAGTAAACATAACTAGATCTGCGTAATCCATTGCATCAGTCTCCATGCAGCAACGTGTTATCAAACTTTGTTTTATTCATCTCCTAGGTTGTGATGAATAGATAAAATTTGTGTCATAAACTTACTATATTAGTCTCAAAGCATTAATAAGTCAGCTTTTTCAAAACTTGTGATATTTTACCTCTTAGGTTATGGTAAGTATGCAAGAATCTAGGATCTCTTTTAGATACTAACGAGTTATCCACATCGTCATATCTAAGTCAAATCAAAACTTTGGTTCAAACACTGGTAAGATGATACATCATCATCTATGACTATTTTTCATACCCATGGGAACGCTGTACAGTGTATCCTTATAATCTTTTGCAAAAAATTTGGGGTCTTCCATTTTTTAATAACCTTCTGATCAAAGCGTATGAGACATGCGTATTCTCGCACTATTCAATCGAAAGGAAATTAAATAGGGGCAGTTGTCATACCCCAAATTTTCCCTATTGATTTCTAATCATTTTTATTCCTAGAAATATCATTTGCTTTATAAAATATTATTCAGGGGAGGTTTAAGTTTATAAAAGGGGGTTTTATCCTATTAGAGAATTAATGGGCTTTTCTAAATCAGAAAATCCCATGAAAAATTAATGGTCCATTAGGTTTTTTAGAGAGGAGGTGTATGAACTTCTTAGCTCATTTTGATCTTACTAAGCCCATTACGTTTCAATTAAGAATTTTTGGTATTCACTTTCAGCCCAATTTAATTTTTGAAGAGTTTACATTATTAGGAATCCATGGACCTTTCTAAATCAGGAAGGCCCATGTAGAATCAGAGGTCCATTTCGTTTTGTTTTTTTTTTAGTTTCAGTCCATTTCAAATATTGAAGGAGAGTTTTACATTATTGAGAATGCTTGGGCATGTCTAAATCAGAATGGCCCATTCGGGTTCTCTTGCAAGGGGGGTATTAGTTAAAATATATTGGCCCATTTATGAATAAATAGAAGAGGGGTGTGTTTTTTAAGCCCATTTAGAATGCTTGGGACAAATAGAAGGGGGCATGTTTTATTTTTTTAGGAAGGCCCAATAATTTAAAACAATTAGGCATGTTTCATTTTTTTTTGAGAAATTGTTTGTCTTTACATGATTATGGATAATTATATTATATTATATTATATTATATTATTATTATTAAAACCATTACTATTTTATTATAAACTTAATTAAGTCATAAATCACAAATTATTATGAACTTAATTAAGTCAAATCTTAACTAAAACAAACTTGATACAAAATCAAATTTATTGTATCAGAATAAAAATTATGATACATATTACATAATCAAAACATAAACAAATCTCTAAAAAACCTTATTTCTCTAATCAATCTCTAAGTAACAACAACCTCATAAAAAAATTTCATATTCTAACTAAATCAAAAACAATATAAAAGCCTAAGAACTCTAAGAGAAAAAAAATTGAAAGAGGAAAATTTTACCACGGTAGAACAAAGAAGCGAGCTTGAGAGCAGAGAAGGAGACTCAAGTACGCCACCGTAAACTTTTGCATCGCCGCTTCGTAAGCTTAGGGTTTCAACATCTGAAACCTTAGCGCTTTCTCTGTTGCGTCGCTGCTACGTTCTCCACAACCATTGTCTGGTACTTGTCAAAAGAAGAAGAAAAGGGATCAGAAGGAGAACTATACAGAAGGAGGCTCGAAGAAAAATCACGATCGAAGGTAACGAAACCTAGCTTTTGCATTTTTTTTGTTGATTACTGTCACGATTGGGGTTTGTTGGGGTAAATAGAGGTTGGTTAGGGTTCTAATTTGGGGAAAAGGGATGAGCTCCACCGTGGATTTGGGATGTAAGGGAGGCGATTTAGGGTTTTCCTATGATGGTATTTGGTGAGAGAAGAGAGAACAAAGGATAGATCAGAGAGAGAGATAATGAAATGAAATGTTTTGTAAAAAAAAATAATGTTTTCAGTAATCTAGTATGCATGATTTCACGGTCATCACCATGCACCCTCAATCATAACTGATTAATCCATATCAAGCGTCCCTAATTCGCACGTCTACTACATTATCATACGCCCGTACGCATGGAGTTCAAACGGACTCCCAAATATCCTTTTGGCCAAGCCCAGTTATTAAAACCACCTCCCTCTGTTTTTGTTTTACTAACATGCGCAAAACCTCACCCCAGATTTTCTATCACGTTAGGATTCAACCCCCCCCCCCTGCGTTTGGGCCTGAATTCAGGGCCCTAATACCTGTACCCCATGTTTTGCTAGCCCAATACCATTTGCAACCCCTCTTGCGTTTTCTAATTTAATTCTTTTTTATTTATTATTTATTATTTTTATATTTTATATTTTAATATATTTTTAAATTTTAATACTATTTTATTATTATTATATATCAAATATTATTTTTCTCAATTCATCAAAATATTTATTTTATTGCATTAAAATTATTTTTTTATCATGCATTAATAAGATAATTTTTATAATTAATACATTAAAAAATATTCAACCAACAATAAACTATTTTTATTAAATCAAATTAAATTCTAAATCAATTTTCAAAAAGGATTACGAAAATATTTTAATCAACTGCGCACTTCGTCTAACTACTTCGCTATTCGCACACCTAGACTAAGTACAAGGGAAGTTCAAACAACTTCGTAATTCATAAAAAATATCAACCAACTACGAACTACGAATTGAGACTCTGATTCCTCATAAGAGGATACGTAGGCATACGGCTAAAATCGTGGCGAGTTCCCCTAATAAAAAACTAAAACTCTATTTCTTAAAGACCATGTTTCTAAATCCTAGTATCCTTGTGAACAAGGTAGATGAAAGATGCCTAACACCTTCCCTTCGTCTAAGAACGAGTCCAACAGCGTAGAATCTCTACCCATGTTAGGGTTATCATTTATATTCTCTTCTTTAGGATAAAAAATAAGGGTGGTGACTCTCGAATTTAAAACTGATTACAACAAAATATTTGAATTAATTTGAATAAAAAAGTAAGTTTGATTTATGTATAAAGTTTGTGATTTAAGTTACAAATGATGAACATTTAAAATAAATCACAAGAAATTAATAATACGCACAAGGATTCATTTTTTGTATTTAAAATTAGTAAAGAACTAAAATAATTAATCTTAAAACCTAATAATTAAATTAATCCTAGTAAACTAAATTACTTAAATTAAAAGTTAAGACAAAGAAACTAACTAAAAAGAATTGGAGGTGCATAAGTGAATGAAAGGGTGTAGACTAGAAAGAATGAAAAGGCCCGAAAGAATTACCTAATCTAAATTACACAAAAATGAAAAAAAAAATAGTAAAAAATACACGTAATTAATTTATGTATCCTAATCTCAAGAAAATTAAAAAACAAAAACAAAAAACAATATAGAAAGCTAACACGTTATTGTTTAATTTCAAACAAAGAAGTTTAATTTTAATAGATATCATGTGAAATGGCCTAGAAATTGTATAAGTACTTCTAAATGTTCATAAATAAAACAATAAATTTTTTTAGTAAAAAATAGTAGAAAGTGAAAAAGTAGTGTAACTTAAAAATAAATGCATCCAAATTAAAAGGAAGGCAGCTAGAGAAATAGGAGAACTTACTGATTTTTAAATTTAAAAATCAGCATCATTCGTAGACTGACATGTGGTAATATTAAATAATAATAATAATAAAATAATAAAACATTAAGGGATATAACGTGAAGAGAGGGTATTGTTTTTTGCAGATCTTTCTTTCTCACTTTTAAACAACAATGCATAACAAAAACATGGAAATAGTAGCAACACCTGCACCGAATCATTCTCTCAATTTCTCTCAATCTGCAACGGAAGTTCGCAAGAACGCGGCGGAGGGAACGTAGACTCTTTTTACAACTTTTCTCTCTTTGGTTCTTCTTCTAGTGCAGAATCTATGTTTCTCTTCCAAAAATTCTTTTCGAAATTTCTCAACAAGAGTAGCCATTGAAACCTACAACAAAAATAAAGAAAGCACGACACACAAACATGATAGAACCAACTGCGTGGAAACGGAGGGAGCCTTGTATGTGATGGCGGCTCATTTCAGTTCTCACGACGTAGGAGTTGACTACATATGGGCGTCATGAGAAGGTCATGGATCTGGATTTGATGGTCGTTGGTGGATTCCGGTGTCGATTGGATCTGAATAAGTTGTGTATCGCGGTGGTGTATGGTGGCAGCTTCCGTCATTTTCATCGGTAATCTCCGATTAGTCCCCTACTTTTTCTCTGTTTCCTACAAAAATATCTCAAATGGTGTTGAATAAAGGTTTGTGGGTTAGAAATTATCTAGTTAAAAGAACTGCAGATTGTGTGTTGTTTTGAATCAATGATGGCTTTTGTTTTCAGATTGATAACCCCTGAAGATTGTTGTATAATTTGTGTGGTTTATGTGTGATGAAGTTTGTACGTGAGAAAGGAAAGTGAGGTTTTTTTTACAAGGTTTGGCAATTTGACTAAGTCATACCAAAAAATTCAACGTGAGAAAATTAGTTAGAAATTGGGTAAAGTTATTTCAACTTGTGTGATAAGAATGATTGGTAGAAATTGTGAATAAGGCTTTGTTGTACTCTGAAATTTACCCTCCCATATTTCTCAACACATGGCAAGTGAGGTTCCCGAATTGCTCAAAGAAGTTCAAGAGTTGACCAGACAAACTCTCTCCTAAGACAGTATACCTCAAATTAGGGTTTCTATTTTCATCAAGATGTGTGAACCACAAAGGACTCAAATGCTCACCATTGTCCTAATATGTTCTCAAGACCATCCATGTCAAGTTTCAAGCCTTGCAGAAGAAGTTTGCTCAGTCAATTGCTCAAATGCCTGAAAATCAACTATATTAGGTCAAAAGTCAATTGTGGCCCACATACAGTCAAACTTCAAGATTTTTGGTCAACATTCTTATTTTGAAGTATTATTCATCATTTGATCAATGGTTGATCATGATTTCTCAAGGATTGCTCACAATTCATTAAAACCCAAAAGTTGCTAAATTAGGGTTTTATAGAAAAAGTCAACCAAACTTTGACCAAGCATAACTTTCTCATACTTTATCAGAAATGACACATTCAAAGCTCATTTTTAAGAGGATACAATTACCTACAATTAATCTTCATCTCCCAAATTCAGAATATGCACTCACAAAAAGATATGAATTTTGACATTATAGATCCTTTTGAAAAGTCAACAAAAAACACCTTTTGGGTCAAAGCTTCATACATGAACATGGAAGACTCAATTGAGGTGAGACCAAAAGGGTTGCTTAGAGAACATCCTAAGATTTCTAAAACATCCAAGAACACCTCTCTAGGCTCAAAATTGAGAGAGTTATGCATTGACCAAGTTGACAATTTTTTGCAAAATTGCCAAAAGTCAAATGTGCTCAAATTTGCATTTTTTGTTAAATGGGCCTAACTTTTTATGCTTGCACCTCAATTATAATGTGGTTATCGACTCAAATACTTATCCATACATTATTTGCTTCATTTTTCAATTTATTTTGATTTTTCATTAATTAAAAAGTGAATTAAATCAAATAAATGATGAAAATTATCAAAGATATGATTTGATTTGTTTTTTTGACAGTTTGGAAACCAAGATATGTTGAGTTTGCAAGATCAATTCGAATCAATGGCAATTGATACAAGAAAGGCATGATTTGGCTCAAAATAGGAACATATCATACAACTTGAAATCAAATCAAATCTTGAATAAATGTAAAGATTCATGCCAAGTTTGTTAACCTAATTCATTCTAGGTTATATAATGAAGCTTTCCAGATCAATAAACAAGGGTGAGAGGTCGTGAGAAGGGCAGAACAAAATTGAAAAATTCCAAGAAAAGTGTGAGACGAATTTCACTCTACAGGCCAATTCAAGGTGTACTAGCCATTCCAATCGCTTGCTAGACATCACAGAAAGCTATTCCAATCATTCCCAGGGCCCGAGACACTCAGAAGCTTGTTCTACAACTCACGCGGTTTGGTATATTTTTCAAATTTGATTATTGCAATTTACGCATCATTAGCACTTTTGATTTATATATTCTTGTTTATCATCATGTTTGCAAGCTAACCATGTCATTTAATTTCATTTTTGATGCATGTACGTGATATTGCCATTGTTAGGGTTTTATATTCTTGTTTAGGGGTTTTCAATGCAGGCGAAATTAGGCTTTAATTCTGGTACCATGATGCTCGTGAGGATGAGACGAGTTGATTGGTACCATCACTTGTCATTTATCTTGCTCGTGTATAATTTTTGAGATGAACAGGTATGTACCTACAGAAAGCGTCTGTAGGTAAAAGCTTTGTTTGTTAAAGCGACGGAGAGAGGAAGAAGAAGCTTGCGTGGTAGCGTGTGACTCGTCCGTTTGAAATTTCGTGCGTTTGGCTGACCCCACTAGCTTGCTTTGAATATTATTTTTTGTTTTTATTATTATCACAACTAACCATCACAGCTCAGCTGGAAAGCAAGTGTTGGAATTGAGTATAGGGATCTGGGTTCGATCCCCAGGTCCCAGTGTTTTATTTGTATTATTTTCAATTAGCTGATCCAGCGGGTTGCTCATCATGAGGCTCACCATGCAACCTCAACATCCATCCTTTGATGTCCAGCTAGCCAGATCCAATGCCTCTCCATTTAAGGTCCACCATATCCTCAAGTCAACATCCACACCAAATCAAGCGTGGTTGACCAGGCCTTGGGTTTTTTTGGGCCAAGAAAATCATATTTGCACCCCCTGCATTTGCTAACACACACGCCCATCTCTTTACTTTTTACTTCCCTTTTTTAATTCTTTTAATTCTTTTTTCTTTAATTATTTTAATTAACACCATTAATCATTTTTTTATATATATATAATCATAAAATCAAGAATTCACAAAAATTTGAGTTGGTTTTTTTTTTAATCAAATTTTATTTAGTTTAGCTTAATTTAATTTAGGGAAATTTTAACTTGTTTTTTATAATTAAAATCAAATGGAAAATTAGGTTAAGTTCTTGATTTAATTCTTTTCTTTTTTCTCAAATAAATAAAAATACAAAAATAGGTTTTTAGAATAAATTAATTAATTTTTCTTAATTTAAAATTAATTAGAACTTAGGATTTTCTTTTTAATTCAATTGTTTCATTATTTTCTCAAATAACAAAACATGACAAAAACATTTTTTTCAATGGCAATTAGGTTTAGTCAATGGTCAAAACCCTAATTGTCTTGTATTTAATTCACCGCGCGCTTGTTAATTATTTTGCCAATATTTTTGTAACTGTTCATGGTTTGTAATAGTTAATTTAGGGTTTATTTTACTGTTTAAATCCCCAATTTTTTGGCTATGTAATTAATCCCCCTCCCCGAGGCCTTGTAATAGCGTAGTTTATTTTCTCATTTTTAATTCCCACAAATATTTAACTATTTAGATGTATGCTAATAGGATTGTATGACAAGAATGCATGACAAATTTAATACAGTTAGAAAACCCTAATGTGCAAAGATAAATAACTGAAACAAATCACTCGCATATATTCACTCTTAGGGTATACTCTCACTTCGGTTGCCTTCGGTAAACGGTTATTAAGCATATGGGGTCTTAGTGGTTGCCCTCCAGTCTAAAAGATCAAATGTCCCATTCGAATTTTGCCTCGGAAATGTTGCCTCGAAAAGATCTTAAGACTCTAGGGTTATTACTAAGGTGTCCTAATATTGCTTTAGTGATCGTACGTCCCTTTTGAATTGACCCTTACAAACTCCAACGACGGTGCTACCTATTTCTCAATAGTAGGATAACACTGTCTAAAGGAAACAAGAATAGAAACGATCTTTTTTCGAGTAGGTAGATGCTAGTAGGTACTTGCTCAAATCAAAACTTTTCATACTTACACTTTTCAAACAAACTTTCAAAACAAACTTCGTCACACCTTTGAGGACTGATACAAGGGTTATCATGAAGTAAAACATTTTTCAAAAACAAAGCACAAACACAAGCAATTTAAAAAACAACAAGTACCTAAGAGCCCATGAAAAACCATGGATAGAAAGGGTGCTAACACCTTTCCTTTCTATAATCTACTCCCCGTACTCAGAATATCTCAAAAAAGGATTTTTTTTTGTACTTTTTTCCTTTCTGGTTGGATGAAATAAAAGTCGGTGGCGACTCTTGCTTACCGCGACATTTTGCGAACAAAAAACGCAAACCAGTATTAAATAGTCGGTTCTGCCACCGTGTCATAGAACTGGAGAATTTGCTGGGGACTGTTTATAAGTGGGGTATACCTTAGGATCTAGGTCATCATAATTGCTTCTCTTGATTGCTTTGTTTGCTTTACTTTTGAGGGTTTTGTTTGGGGTTATTATAGATCCTACACCCGGATCTGGGGAATACCTTTTAGGTAAGTAGCAATAAACTGTGAGGGAACTGTACAACATAGACCGATACGGTTGAAGCAGTAGCTACATTGGTGTGGCACTTTGGTTGGTACTGGTATCCCTTGTGGTGAAACGAGGAGAATACGGGGCCGTTGCATGGTGTCATTAAGCATAAACTGACCTTAGAACCTTTAATCTCCCAACTTGGCCATTAGAAAGTAGAGAGATAGCCGGCCTCGGTGTAGAGCTGAGAACTGGTTGATACTCGATGCTACACTCATTGAGATCATACTCTCGGAATATTTCGGCCGCAAGAAAAGATTGCGTGAGCTGAAACCATGACCGATGAAGGATGGTCAATGATATTGAGATCCTCTAGAACCCGGTTACTTTTTTCTAAGACAGGTTAAACCAACTTAAC